CAGACCTCTCCTTCGGTGACTTAAAAGTCACATAACCTCTCTCCGAGCTTCATTTTCCTCATCTGCAAGATAAGAATGACAGTGCTGTCCAGGTTTCAGTTTCGTTAAACTTTATTGAAAGCCTGATGTGTATGCTAGGCATAGGCACACGGGCCGAAAGAGGAATGAGAATCTGGTTCCTGCGCTCAAGTGTAGAAAAGGAAGATGATAAAAGGAGCCTTGAAATAAAGTGACAAGGCATTGCGGAAGCACTGAGAAGGAGTGCTGAACCCAGACTGGAGAGAGGGGCTGGAGAAGGGGTAGGACAGGTTTTCTGACAACCTGTTGCCTCAGTCTCAGTGGTATAAGGATGTTTAAGAGTTGCCACCGGGGAGACGCGAGAAGGGCCCTTCGTGCACAGAGGTCAGTATAAGCAACAGCATCCACGTGAGGGGCTGCATGACGTCGGCATTGCTGCTGTGCTGCATAAAGCGAGGAATGTCCAGGAATGGTGAGGACTGTCCAGAGATGAGGAACTAGGTGGGACCAGGTGAGGTAGGGGGTTGTATTCTACCTTACAGGGTTTTCACTTTGTTCTCAATGCAGTGGAGAGCCACTGGAGAGTTTAATCAGGGGTGTGATACCAGGTTCCTTAGATCCCTTGCTGGCTGGGTCTTTTGGATTTGATTGAAGGGCTCAAGGCTGGAGACAGGGAATCTAAGTTAGGTGGCTGCAGCAGCAGACCCAGTGAGTAATGATGAGGGCTGGAACTGTGATGGGGGTAAAAAACAGGAGTGAGGTCGGGCAGAGGGACACATTTAAGGGCTATTTGGGAGTTAAATTTAGCAAAAGTGGGTGATTTGAAGGTAAGAAGTGAGGGAGACGTCAAGGTGACTGGGAAAGTTTTAGCTTGGGTAACTGGGTGGATAATGTTTCCATAACTGAGAGAGAGCATATTAAATGGCATAGGTTTTAGGCATGGGGCAAAGTGGGTGAATGGCTTATTTTAGGCATGTTAGGTTTAAGTTGTCTGTTGGGACTTCTAGGTGGAGATATCCAGCAGACAATGATAAGTGACTGCGAGGTTCAAGAGAGCAGTCCTGCCCGGTCTAGAGATTTGGGAGCTGCTAACATGTAGGAAGTAGTGGAGCCATGGGAAATGACAGAGTCCCCAGGGAGAATGTGCACAATGAGAAGAGCAGGGGGCCAAGGTCAGAATTTGAGGAGTAGCCGTACCAAAACAGCAGGCAGAGGAAGAGGTCCCTGCAAAGTCCACACTGGTGGGATGGCTAGAGAGATACAAGAATGATGGTCTGGAAGCCACGGGAATAGAAGTCAAGGAGAGCGTCATTTTAAAATGTCAAATGTAAGATAAAGCCTGAAAAATGTCTTCTGGATTTGGCTTTTAAGAACTGAATGTGATCTTACTAAGAGGTGTTTCCAGACTGCAGTGGTTGAGGAGTAAATGGATGTTTAGACTACTCTTTAAAAAGTTTGTTTGAAGAGTAGGAGAGAATGAGGTTAGTAGCTAGAGAGGAATTTAAAATAGGCTCTTTTTAAGGTAACAGAAACGAGCCTGTTTACAGACCTGTGGTGGGAAAGAGCTAGCAGAGAAGGAAAGGGAACGTCTGCACATAGGTGTGCGGATTGACATTGAACAGGTCTTCTCTGGGCCTGAAGGATGGGGATTAGGAGTAAGTTGATAGAGGAGAGGGTACAGGGTGTGGTGGGAGGAGGTAGTTGAAAGAAAACCTCTGGAAGATCTGTTTTCTTCATGAAGAGAGATCCTCAGCTAGGAGGAGGAATGGAGGAGCTGATTACAGAGGAGATGGTCAAAAGAATGGTGAAATAGTCCTTAAAGGGAATGGGGCATGGGTTTAAGAGGAGAATTGACAGGTGACACAAAGGACCAGCTAAGGTAGAGACGTTAATAACGATGCCAGTCTGTCTAGTCTGGTCAGCTGCTGGGCATTAGCCAGGTAAGAAATAGAGGAATTGGAAGTAGCACAGCTCCAAGAAGAGAAATTGATTGCATTTGGTGTATAGTATTAGATACTAGCAGTTTAGATGCTTAGTAGTGGAGTCTAGACAGGAGGAAAGAAAGGTATAGGCCTGAAGACAGAAAGAAAATGGGTCTTCACGTTGGAAGAGCAGGTGTAGTGGAAATGAGATAAGTAGAGCATGAAGAATTGGTGTCAGTTAAGTACCAAAGCGGAAGATTTCCGCGGTGACAGAGTGAATGAAAAGATTTGAGTTAGGAAGAGTAGAGATGTGGAGGGGGAGACTTTTCAAAGCTGTTGTTGGATGGGTTACCCATATGGGTGGGGTGGAGAGGAAGATGATGACCCAGGTGACAAAGTGTCTAGGGAATGAGGGGAGGTGATACTTAGGGTGGTATACTCAGATGGCTTGAACTTCAAAAGAGAATGAGCTCTGTTTCCTCTGCCTGAACTTTCTTCCCTCGGTTCTTATCCTTTGGTCTTCTGGCTTCTTATTTAAGTCTCAGCTTAAATGTTCCCTGCTTAGAGAGACTTCTGATCACCCTGCCTAAGCAGGTGCTCCCCCATTTTGTCTATTACAACACCCTGTTTATTTCTTCACAGTGCATGGTGACCAGTAAAGAATTGGGAGACAAAAAGTGTGTGTGTGTGTGTGTGTGTGTGTGTGTGTGTGTGTGTGTGTGCATGTATGTATGTATATATGAATTTTTTTCATCCTTTGGATTACATATTCAATAACAACAGTTTTTCTTAGAATTCTATATCCTGGGACTCCAGCTCAAGAGGTTTCCCGTTCTATTTTCCTTATCCCAAGAGAGATAGCTTGGCTGCTTTCCAGGGTTTATCTCTGTGGTATAGGACTGACCCTGGTGGGAACAGGAGGTGGGGGGCGGGGGCCAGAGAACTGCTTCTCAACCACAAATGGCCTTTTCACTTCCAGCTTCCTTCTGCTTTCCACCCCCACCTCCCAAAAGAAACTAAACGAAAGCCAGAAAAATATTCTGGAATTTTACTGGATTGACTATTGTGTAAGAAATCTAAAACCAGCTTCGATGGTTGGATTTGAGATTACAACATGAAGGTCTATATTATAGCTTGTGAGGTATGCCCCCCCGAGGAGTGCTGGAAAGAACCCTGGGTTTTAGAGTTCACTCTGCCTTTAACTTGTCCTGGATAAGCTGTTGTACTTCTTCAGACAGAGAATTCCTTCCCTATAAATGCGATAAATGGCCTTCAAGGTACCTTTCCGTTCTGTCACTAGCTCTAAATGCTACCAGTACCCATTCTCTAGTGTTAGTATAGCAAGCAAAGGTGGCAAGTCACTTTCTTGTTTTTAAAGAATAACCTCAGGTCCTGTTGTTGTTTGCCACTGAGCCCATTCTGACTCATAGCCACCCTACAGGACAGAGTAGAACTCCCCCATATGGTTTCCTAGGCTGTAATCTTTACGGGAGTAGATTGCCAGGTCTTTTCTCCTGTGGAGCTGCTGAGTGGGTTCGGACGGCTGACCTTTCAGTTAGCAGTCGTGTGCTTAACCACTGTACCACCAGGGTTCCTTAACTTAAGGCCCTAGTACCTAGGAATGCTGTGATCATTCTGAAAATGACTTTTCTGTAATAAAGAAATTGGGTGAAAGAGCTTTTTTTTTCTTTTAATTGTGCTTTAAGTGAAAGTTTACAGTTCAAGTCCATTTCTCATACAAAAATTTATACACACATTGCTATGTGACCCTAGCTGCTCTCCCTGTAATATGACAGCACACTCTTCCTTTCCACCCCAGATTTCCCGTGTTGATTGAGCCAGCTCCTATGCCTTTTTGCCTTCTCATGTCGCCTCCGGACAGGAGCTGCCCATTTAGTCTCATGTATCTACTTGAGCTAAGAAGCACTCCCTTCACGAGTATCATTTTATGTCACATAGTCCAGTCTAATCTTTGTCTAAAAGAGTTGGCTTTGGGAATGGTTTCAGTTCTGGGCTAATGGAGAGTCCAGGGGCCATGTCTTCTGGGGTCCCTCCAGTTTCAGTCAGACCATTAAGTCTGGTCTTTTTACTAGAATTCGAGTTTTGCACCCCACTTTTCTCCTGCTCCGTCAGGGACTCTCTGTGAAAGAGCTTTTTTTTTAAAAAAAAAAATACTACTCTCAATGAATCAGGGCAAGGAAGCCTTCATTCATGAAGAGGAAGGCTGCATTAAATGCTGCTAGTTCTTCCTCAGCCTCACCCAAAGATCCCTTTATTCTTTAATGGAAACTTGGCACAGAGTCGTCCCGGAAGGCTGACGAAGTTGGCTGTGTAAGGGCTTTAGCAACAGTGGCCTTGCTTCTCCTTTGCACTGTGTCAAGGAAATCTGGGACAGAAGGAACGCTGTTCCCACTGCTTAGCCAAATAGAGCAGGGGTATGCCTGTCTCTCAGCTATTGTTAGCTGCCGTGGAGTCGGCCCCTGACTCACGGTGGCTCTTGCCCTGCCCCCATGATCTGTTGCAGATCAGACTATTGTGACCCATAGGGTTTTCACTGGCTGATTTTTGGAAGTAGATCACCAGGCCTTTCTTCCCAATCTGTCTTAGTCTAGAAGCTCCACTGATATCTGTTCAGCATCATAGCAACAAGCAAACCTCCACTTACAGACAGGTTGTGGCTGCATATGAGGTGCATTGGCCGGGAATCAAACCTGGGTCTCCCACATGGAAGGCGAGAATTCTACCACTGAACTGCCGATGCCCTGTGTCTCTAAACTAACTTGGACCATTTCACTGGGAAAATATGTGATAAAGACTAGCTGCTTGACACCAAAATGTTAAAACATTCAGAGTAGACTTAAAAGAACTTCTTTCAAATATGTAGATACTATCAGGATCCAAGGGAATGGAGGCTGTCTCTTTGAAAGTGTACCTCTTTCTGTACTAATCAGTTAGTTTATTCTTCTAAGTATTTTTCTGTGTATTATAAATGTTTTCAGTAAGTTTGTGGGTGGATTTCTTAATTTAGCAAAGTAGCTTATATTTATATAACAACTCAACAGGATATGAGTTACGACACTTAGGGGTGTTACCCTCTTTCTTCAGATCTGTGGGGTTATCGCGTAACATACCATGTCACATGATTTGACAATGCAGGAAAAAAAACTCAACTCGGTTTCATTGGCTTAAATATAGTTCAGGACAACACATACGAAGTGAAGATGAGGAAGTACTGTGTAGTATAGGAAATAGAAGCTTTTAAAGATAATTTACTGTAATGTGAAACTGGCTTGTTAAGTCCTGATAAATGAGTAGAAGTACCGGAGAAGATTCTTTATTCTTGAATTAAGAGAAAGGGACTGTGAAAGCACATCAGGTAAAATACTTTGGATATAGATTTGCTTTTGCAGAGGTAGGACTGTATGTTTAAAGTGATTAAGACAGAGGAGGGGAAGTTTGAGAGAAGAAATGAATGTGATGACCTAGACCAGCCAACACAGGGTGTTGTTGGTATTTTTGGATTTAATTGTTTTCCTTATGACTTATTTTTCTTAGTTATTTAAAAGCATATCTAAGTGATATTTTCTAAACTTGCATATACAGCAACAGAAAGTCTTTGGTAAGCTGTAGTAGTAACCTCTAGCCATGCTAATTAAAATCTTTCTCCTCCATGTTGTAAAGGGCAATGACTGCAGTTCTTATTTTCTATGGGTGTATATTTAATTATTAAATATATGTAAAAGCAGCTTTGTTTTACTAGTTTTAAAGTTACGGGTGACTGGGGAAGGGCGTACTATACTCTTAAGTTTGCAAAGAACAAACTAACAACCTTGATAGTGTTTACTGCCATACAGTTTATGGTCCTGCAGAGTCTTATACTGTAAAAGACCTTGTTGATACTTTTTGGCATCCTATTTTATTAGCTTTTTTTTATATAACCAAATTCTGCCTAGGGTCTATTGAAAAAAGTAAGAAAGAAAGAAAATGTACTATTTTAACACTATGGCTAATAAATGTTTATCCTGAAATGGTAGGAAAAAAGCAGCTGTAACTGGTTGAGAAGTTATTCTCACTCGTTAACCTTTATAAGGCTGTTTAAAAATACCTCCAGGCTTAAAGGAAACTTAGTGCAAAACTCTACATTTGTGAAACATCGGGAGATGATTATTCACCCCAAAAGGATCCTGTGCTTTACTACATGATTTGCCTCACACGGTGAATTTCCTTAGCGATTTAAATTTATGTAATCTTTTTTATGAAAACACTTATTTTAAGAAAATGTAACATTCATAGTAATTATATGTAAAACATACATACATACACACGTGTATGGGTGTATATATATTTATATATACACACATATATATTATAGGGTTGCTATGAGTCAGAATCGACTCAACAGCAACAGGCTTGGTTTTTTTTTTTGTTACATACAGATACATACATACATATAGAAAATATGTAATAGTTACAGTGATCAGGAGCCCTGGTGATGCAGTGGTTAAAGTGCTCAGCTGCTAACCAAAAGGTCGGTGGTTCAAACTCAGCAGTTGCTCTGCGGGAGAAAGATGCGGTAGTCTGCTTCAGTAAAGATTTACAGCCTTAGAAATCCTATGGAGCCGTTCTGCTCTGTCCTGTAGGGCCACTATGAGTTGGAATCGACTCAACGGCAGTGAGTTTTATAGTCATCAGGAGAACAGAACTTTTTTTCAGGGATAATAAAGGAAAAGCTAATACTTTAATTTCATCTTCCAATTTATTAAAAAAAAGAAAAGCACATAGTTGTAGTTTAATTTACAAACAACAGTGTACTGTGCACAGCTGGTAGAATAGAAAATGAATAAAATATTCTGGATGAGCATACACACTTGGTGGGGTTAAAAAAAATGCACACAAATAACCAAACGTAATTAGACCATCATAAGTGCTGCCAGTTTTGGGGATAACCAAACGGTGGAGTAACCGTAATTCTCAGTCAGGGTTGGCATCATTGAGGTGGTGATTTTTGCATTGGGCTTTGAAGTAAACTTCAGCATTATTTGAAAAATGATGGGAAAGGGTGGTGTTCTAGGCAGAGTTGGCAACAGCTTGAGCAGAGGTATGTAAGTCAGCGTTGCTTCTCCATTCAGAATCCTCCATTGCCTTTCCATCTCACCTAGAATAAAATCCAGAGTGCTTATTATGGTCTGCAAGGGCTTATACCCTGCCCCCAGGTCCCCTCTACCTTTCTGATCTCATCTCTTTACTACCCTTTCCCACTAGATTGCAAAATCCATGAGAGCAGGGGCTTTGTGTCCTTTATTCAGCCCTGTGTTCCCAGTGCCTAGAGCAATAAGTGCTCCTTAAGTAAGTGTTGAATGAAAGAGATTAAAAAGGAGTCCAGTGTGCTTGAATATAAGATATATGGAAGGGTTATAAATGGCAAGGAATGAGGCTGAACATTATATTGAATGCAATATAAAGTTTTGCGACTTTAGGACAGCATCTAAGATTTTGCAACGAAGAAGTGATATGATATCGCAGTGTAGCCAGTGGAGTAGAGGGACCAGAGAATGGAGATAGCAATGCCATATGAATGACTGAAAATCTGAAAAACATACTTTGTCAAATTTGGGCAGGGGGCAGGAAAGAAGAGACAGATAATTCCCTTAGCAGTGTATTTATAGGGCTTAAAAACTGTGCTGGAAAGAAGTTTGGTTCAGTTCTTCAGAGTCTGTCTTGTCACTGATTTGACAGTTTCAGACCTGTAAAGAGAATCTACTTTTCTCACTTGTTTATTTATTCAGTGAACCTGTTTGTACTTTAAACACTGTGGTATAGTTGAAAGACCATCAGTTTTAGCACTACCAGATTTGAGTTCAGATCTTACTTCTGCCACTTGTATGGTCCTGAAAAAATTATTTAATATCCCAAAGTTTCAGATTCCTTGTCTGTAAATAGCAGTGACATCCAATCTGTAAGTAGTCAGGATTAATTGAGAAACTGTATGTAAAAGGATCCTAGTGTGATATTTGGTGGGATCAAGGTGGTTGACACATGTCCCCTTCCCTCCATTTGCTTTTTATTTTACTCTGCCCATTCACGAGTGTCTCCTTTAAGATCCAGAATTTATGGGGGTCAAGGTTGAAAGAGTCTAAGTTGTATTCAGTATTTGATAATCTCACGGTTTTTCTCTGCTTTCAAACAGATGTGAACCTCTTCAAGTCTCCTACCTCCTACCTACTATTGCAGAGAAAGCACTTCTCTTCCCTTTGCTTTTAACATTTTAAAATCTTCCCCCTTGTCTTACCTTTTCTTTCTCTCACTAATTCTGTGCCTTGTTTCTTGCACGCTCATACTTCTGTCACCATCCCCCATCGTCTGTAAAGGGATGTCAAAGAGGAAGTTGTGCAGGAGTTAGTCCTTCTTCTCTATAAAACTGGAATGAGGGAGGCATCAGATCTCCTCATCTAACTCCACAAGGGGCGGGGGTGGGGGGGTGGGGAGGAGAATCAAGATCAACAGCTCAAGGCTGATTCCTGTAAGGTGGAGGTCAGATATGCCTCCTCTCTCTGCCATCTTTACCAGTTCTGACACCAACCATCCCTCCCACGGAGGTCTCTACTCTGGTGAGTTTGATAATTCATTACAGTGGCCACACGTAACTCACAGATAATACTCACGATTATGGGGTTTATTAGGGAAGTAACAGGTTACAATTCAGGTTCAGGAATGCTCACGATACAGTTCTTCCATCAGGACAGCCTCTTCTCAGCCATGCTCAAAGGCATGTCTCTCTCTGGCGCTTGGCCTCTGCCCTGCTGGGGCAAGTGTTACAAAGCTCTTTTAGCTCTGCTAATAAGTGCCCCGAGGCACACCACTTCATTAGTAAGCCTTGGCATGAAGGTGCTCAGCTCTGTGGGTCGGCACGCCTAGCTCCACCAAGTGCCTGGAGGCACCCTCCTTCACCAGCAAGCCTCCTTGCCCAAAGGCGCTCAGCTTTCTCTCTCTGTGGGCTGGGAAGCCCACTGCGCCGTCTGCTGCCAGTCTCTCTGGCTGCTGTTTCTCTGCCACCGCTCCTCACTGTCTTCAGTGTTACAGTTCTCTCTTGGTCTCCTGGTTCCTGGAGCTTCTCAGCGCAGGGATCCTGGGTCCAAAAGACGTGCTTCACTCTTGGCTCTTTTTCCTTGGTGGTGGTGAGATCCTTTCTCTGCTCTGGAATTGGCTCTGTTTTAAGCCTAGTGGGATGGCAAAACTGACCGATCCCCTTGGTGGGCCACAGTTACTTTATTTGCACAGTCTCATCCAATCACTTGGGTGGGAGTTAAAAGACCATGACAAACAAGGCCATGCAAAAGTGTTCCATCGCACTGCATTCCCCATTCCCTAGCCACGCCCAGACCTGGAGTCATAGAGGTAGAATGAGATCCAGATGCCGGATCCCATTGACTCACAATAAACTTGAAGCCAGACTCCCAGGATTAGCACTTGTAGTAAATAATGGCAAGTATTCTGAAAAAGTTGGCTGGAGAATAAGAAAATAGTATCACGTACAGGGGGAATTCAATAATCAGGGCTTCTAACCCAGCATGCTGCTAGCAACAGCTGGGAGAAAATTTAAATGTGAACTTGCCACAGACAAACCAGCCAGAAATCTACCCCCAGCTGCCAAGTCAGAAAGTCAGATACGATTTCTTAGTCACAGAAGGTGCTTTTCATCCCTGTAGTCCTGACTGGCCTAATTTAGTAATCAAAAGTCAGCGTTTAGTTTTATTTTACTTCTTCCTAAGACCATTATAAGGCTCTTCATTTGTTAGGTATCTGATTAGACACTAGTGGGAAATCAAGGATGTATCCATGCATCTCTGAAGAATGATGTGTACATACATGAAGTAGCTAGAATTATAGCAAAGCAAAAAAAAAATTTTTTTTTGTTTTAAGCCTCTAAGTTTTTTTTTTTTTTTAATTGTGCTTTAGGTGAAAGTTTACAGCTCAAGTTAATTTCTCATACAAAAATTTATACACATATTGTTAAGTGACATTAGGTGCAATCCCTACAATGTGACGGCACACTCCCCCTTTCTACCTGGGTTTCTTGTGTCCATTCAACCAGTTCCTGTCCCCTCCTGCCTTCTCATCCTGCCTCCGGACAGGAGCCACCCATCTGGTATTGTGTATCTGATTGAACTAAGAAGCACACTCCTCACGTGTATTGTTTTTTTATAGTGCAGTCTGATCTTTGTCTGAAGAGTGGGCTTTGGGAAGGGTTTCAGTTGTGTGTTAACAGAGCATCTGGGAGCCATAGTTTCAGGGGAGCAAAGCAAAATTTAAGCGTAAACAGTAGCAATGTGCTATTGATAACAGTCCTAAGAAGGAAATAAGCAGCCTCCTGAATTTTGAAACTAATTTTAATTATTTCTTTTGTGCATGGGCCAGCAGGGAGGAGCGAGGAAGAACATGGCAAGCAAAAGATGGGAATAACTAATGCAGTTGTGAGGAAGGAGATAGGTTTTGCCCAGAAAGCTTCCCACACACTCCGTTCACCAGAAGGGTGAATTCTGTGGAAGTGATTAGAGTGGACAAGAAGGGAAAAAGAGGATTGGAATTCAGAGTTTCCATAACTCTAACGCCAAGAATGACTAAATCAGCTATTGGATATCTCCACAGGATTTCTAAGACCTTGAAAGAGGGGAAAGTCACATTTGCTGAGAAGGCACTTTGTTTGCTAAATGCTAAATGGTTTCCTTGTGTTCAGGTCCTGAGCTGCCCATGAGGGAGTTACATTGTGCTCCTGTGACAGATGAAGAATCTGACCCAAGGTGAAGAAACCTACCCTGCTAATAAGATTTAGAGCCAGGATTCTAATCCCAGCTGCTGCCCTCCCTTGCTATATGGTTAGAAATGAAAGGGTTCAGGGATCCCCTTTCTTCTAAGATTGGACAGGGTCTGCCTGAGTTTTCAGTGCTGTCCCCTCAAAATGTTTTCTGGGTTTCATTTCTTTTATTCAGCAAACGGAACTTATCTAGAATGGTACTATCCGTTAGAAATAAAATGCAAGCCACATGTATAGTTTAAAGTTTTTTATTAGCCACATTAAAAAAACAAAACAGAAAGAAACAAGTGGGCTTAATTTTAACAGTATATTGTGTTTAACCCAGTATGTCCAAAATTATCATTTCATGTTAATCAGTATTTTAAAAATTGAAATATTTCACCTTTTTTTTAACTTAAGTCTTTGAAATTCAGTGTTTATTTTACATTTAAACAAAAACCCTCTGCCGATTCATAGCAACCCTATAGGATAGAGTAGAACTGCCCCATAGGGTTTCCAAGGTGCGGCTGGTGGACTTGAACTGCCAACCTTTTGGTTAGCAGCCCAGCTCTTAGCCACTGCGCCAGCACTTCTCAATTCAGACTAGCCACATTTCAAGTGTTCAGTTGCAACCTGTGGCTGGTGATTAATAGCTGCTATATTGGACATCATGGATCTAGAAAAAGACAGCAAGACTCATCCTAAAAAATCAAAAATAGAGGTCCTGCTTTGAAGCCATTGAGAGGAACTATGGTGGAGCAGGAGAGCAGCTTCACTTAAGATGTAGTGGGAAACTCTCTGGAAGAAAGAGATACCACGCACAAAAGACAGGCATACTTTTTAAAGGAAAGTAAAGACTGTTAACATATCACATAAGGAAGTTACTGACCAACGGCCTATTTATGGAGAGCAGTAAGATCTGACCTTTATCGCCACCTCCAGTAACAACCACAGGAAAAGTAATATGCTGAGCCATATTAGAGGGGGGAAATGATGTGTCTTGGCAAATATACTAACCATTAAGAATGGAAACCACAGCTTTTAATGTATATATGGATGTGGCTGCCAAAAAATCTTTTCTCCCAAATGCCTAATGGCTTTTTCAGATGGGGAACTGTAATGTCTGTTTGAGGAAAAAGCCATGAACAAACTACCTTATATGGGGATTTCCACAGGCCTCAGCTCCACCCAAACATGACAAATGATAGCTTCAGCCTTCTAGTCTAGCAAAACAGGTTTTTCTATATTTCTAAGATCTTCAGTCACTTCTTTCGTGCTTTACTTTAAAAAAAAAAAAAAAGCTCTTGAAATTTCCCCTGCATCTTTCTTCCTATGATTCGGCTTATGTTGTCTTTGTTCTTTTTAACCTCTCTCAGGCCTTTTCCGTATGATTGCTTTTTTTTTTTAGTAGCAAGTAATCAGTCTACCAGGGTCCTGCTCTTGGCTGTTTTACCTGTGGGACTGTAATTCTATTCCTTCTGAAAAATGAAAAGGATCAGAATCCTTTATAATCCCTCCGGTCCTTCATTTTGTAGCCTGGAGCTTCATTTTTGAACTCTGAAAAGCAAGGGTGATATTTTTGCTCAGTGATTTAATTCAAAGTAGAAGCTGTTTCTACCTATAGCAAGATGTCAAATAAAAGCTGGAGGCTTGGGAAGAATCTGAGGTATACATAGGTGGTGGGTGGCCTGAGCTTGATTATTTCCCTTGTAGTAAAGATTGAGAACAAGAGATAACCTCCTAGTATGTTCTTGCAGTGGTGCCTTAAAACGTGATTACAGAACTTCCATCAGGGGCTTGGGCTTTTTGCTGCAGCACACTAAGAGTTGACACTATATTGACTTCCCCTGACCTGGTAGCATTTTCCTGAGGCCACACCATTCAGTGACCAACGTTTATCTTTCCCAGTTCGTTTCTAATTATTACCCTATTTTAAAAAATATTGTGAGGTAAACAAGCATATACTATCTTTGATTTACAAGGGAGGAAACTGAAAAATTGAAGAAGGCTTGTTGGAGGTCAGTAACAGCTAGAACACCTAAAGAGCCAGAGTAAGGCCTCAGGTTCCTGGTTTAGTCTTTCTGTGGAGGCAGCAATGGGCCAAAGCCAACAGTGGTGGGGGTAGGTGGTCGCTCATGCTAACGGTGGAAGTTTTATTGGAGCAGCTTATTTTTACCCGCTAGCTCCTCTGTGAGCCTGCGGTCGGCCTCCCTGTTGCCTTTGACTGTCCCCTGCCTTCCCTTTTGGCTCCCCCTCCCAATTTCTCTCTTTTCAGCTGTTATCATGTAAGATGGGAGTATAGATAGATAGATTCCTGTTTGCACTACTTACTGACCAAAACTTTGGTTCTTTTAATATAAAAGATTATTATATAGTTCTCCCTTAAAAAATAATTCTTAATCAATTGCTTTGCATTTCTTTGGTCAGTGATTGATTTTAAAAAACATAAAATTTGTCTGTGCTTTTATTTTGATAATTTAGAATTTTTTCCCATTCATAAATGAGTTGTTGAGAATACTCTATGATAGGAGGAAAAAAGGACAGAAAAATAATTTATTATTAAATGGTAGTCTTTAATATATTCCTTAAAATATAGCTTTAAAAATAATTATTTATACCAGCAATTCTGCTCGACAGGGATGAGAATTTTCAATACACCTTGCTTTCCCTTTGGGGGACTATGACTGCATCATTAAGCATCCTCTTGCCAGGATACCAAAAATAATTTGTTTTCATTAAAGTTAACAGACCCAAGTAGGCAGGGCACAGCTCCCTCACCTTATCTGTTGCATTTTGGGGAATATTAATCTTACTAAATCTTAATTCATAAGCCCAAAAATGATCCTTAAATTTACCCTTTTTTATCCAGCTCACGAGATTACATTCCAGAATGCACATTTACAGTTTAGTCTTTCTGGGGAGGCCAAGGGTCCTGTTTATGGAAGACAAGAGCGCCTTCCCATCCTCTGGCTTCATCCTCCTCCTCCCTGAGCCTTAAGATATTATAGCGGTAGGTTGGAAAGGTGTATAATTTTCCAGTTGCACAATTGAGAAAATAAGAATTTTATTTTGTAAGATTAGGTAGCTGCTTTCAAGGGGGAAATTTCCTGGAACATAATGATATCTATGGTGACAACATTATAAAAATAAAGATGAGGGGAGGATAGGAAAACCCTTTAAGAAGGTTAAGTTAACGTAAAATTATGTGACACATGGGTGGGTTTAAGTTAGATGTCACATTGTATATTCCTCATAGAGTTGGACATAAAGAGTGAACATGTTGAGAAACTAGGAGTGGAGCATTTGTGATGGTCAGTTAATTTCTG